GCACTTAGGTGGTTTCCATATCTTGGCTATTGTAAATAATGCCACCGTGAACATGGAGGTGTGTATATCTTTTTGAGTTAGTGTTTTTTGTTTTCTTTGCAGATTTACCTTTAAATGGAATTGCTTGATCATATGGTAGTTCTATTTTGGATTTTTTGAGGAATCTCCGTGCTGTTTTCCATAGTGATTGTACTAATTTATGTTCCTACCAACAAGGGTTCACTTTTTTCCACATTCTCACCCACACTTATTTCTTATGTTTTTATAATAGCCATTTTAACAGGTGTTTGATGACATCTCATTGTGGTTTTTATTTGCATTTCCCTGTGATTAGTGTTGGTGAGCATCTTTTTATGTACCTGTTGGTCATCTGTATGTCTCTTTGGAAAAATGGCTATTTAGATCCTCTGCCTATTTTTTAATTGAATTGTTTTGTTTTTGCTTTTGAGTTGTGCGAATTCTTTATGATCTGTGTATATTTTCTTACAGTTCTCAATTTTTTTTTTTTTAATCTTCACCCGAGGATATTTTTCCATTAACCTTCTGATAGAGTGGGAGGGAGGGAGGGAGCGGGAGGGAGAGTAAGAGAGAGACACAGTCACTGCTTGCCTCCCGCATGACTCCAACCAGGGCCAAGGACGAACCACAACTGAGATACATGTCCTTGACTGGAATCAAACCAGTGACTCATTAGTTTGGTCTGCAGGCCAATGCTCTAACCACTGAGCAAAACTGGCTAGGGCACAGTACTCAATTTTTGTTCTGTGTATTTTGAGGCTCTTATTTTAAATGTGTACATATTTATAATTGTTATTTTTCAAGTCAGTGAAAACTTCTGTTATAAGGTAATGACATTATTATCTCTTGGAATGCTTTCTTTTATAAAGTGTTTTTTGCCTGGTAGTGATGTAATTATAATCAGATGAGCTCTTTTGGTTGATACCAGTTAGCTTATCTTTTTCCTTTTTCTTTTTTTCTGTGCTCTAATATTTAAGGTATGTTTATTATAAAGGTGCATAGATGGGTTTTGTTTCTTATACAGTCTTTTCATAGGATAATTATTTCTTTTAAACTGATAATGATGATTGTGATATCTCAAGTATTTTTTTTTTTTAATCCTCACCCGAGGACATTTTCCTCCATTTTTGTTCAGATAGAGTGGAGCGAGGGAGGGAGGAAGGAAGGGAGGGGGAGAGAGAGAAAGAGAGAGAGAGAGAGAGAGAGAGAGAGAGAAACATCTACATGAAAGGGACACATCACTGGCTGCCTCCCACACAACCCCACCCAGGGCTGGGGCTGAATCACAACCAAGGTACGCCCTTGGTCAGAATTGAACCCGAGACTCATTGATCTGCAGGCCGACACTCTAACTGCTGAGCCAAACCAGCCAGGGCTCAAGTATTTTTAACTATTTTATTTATTCTTTCTATTTGTTCTAGTTCTGTTGTTTTTGATGCTGATGTTGGTATTTTAGGTATTTTTTCAATCCTTATTCTGGATTGACTTGTTCTATTTTATTTTCTCCTGCCCTTTCTCCACCCCCCAGTTGGATTGTATTTCTTTGCTTATAGTTGTTCCCCAGAAAGTTTTATTACTCATTTTAATTTTTTTCCCCATAAAATTTCAACAGCCTATTTAGTATTTGAATCCTAAAACTTAGTGTCTTATCCTAAAAATTAGTGTCTTAGCCATGCTCTTGAGTAGTAGGAAGGCATAGAACTTCATTTCTTTCTTCCCAATGTTTATATTTTTGTTGTCATATCTTTTAGTTCTTTCCTTTTTTTGAAACCACCTAAGACATTATTTTATATGGTCATGTTAATTTAGGTTTGTCTACATATTTATCATCTTATTCACTTACCATTCTTTTTTATTTTGTAATTTTTTTTCTTTTATTGATTTAGAGAGAGAAGGAGGGAGAGGGAAAGAGAGACAGAAACATCTATGAGAAAGAACATTGATTTGCCGCCTCCTGCATGCTCTTCACTGGGAATCTGGCCCACAACCTGGACATGTGTCCTGACTGGGAATCGAACCAGTGACCTCTTGGTCCATGGATTGATGCTCAACCACTGAGCCATACTGGCTGGACCCGTTGCTGCTTTTTTTTTTTTATCCTCACCCAAGGACATTTTTGCATTTATCTTCAGATAGAGTGGGAAGAAGAGAGGGAGGAAGAGAGAGAGAAACATCGACATGGACTGGCTGCCACCCACACAACCCTATGGGGCTGGGGACAAACTGCAACCGAGGTACATGCCCTTAGCGGGAACCGAACCTGGGTCTCTCCGGACTGTAGGCCGAAACTCTAACTGCTGAGCCAAACTGGCCAGGGCATTTCTGGAAAACTCTTAAGCCTCTGTGTGTGTGTGTGTGTTACCAAACCCTTTTCCTACAGTTCCTTTGTCATCTTCTTAAATTCCTGTTAGATATACTATCACTCTTTTTTTTTTTTTTTAATTTATTTTTTTATTAATTAATTTTTGTTACAGATGTTTCTCCTTTTCCCCCACCTTAATCTTCCATGTGCCTTAATTGCTTTTCTTCCCTATATTTTTACTTCTTTGGGCTTTATTGGTAGCATTTTAATATTTCTTTCAGTATGCATTTCTCCCTTCAGTTATATTTAATCTATCAAATGTACTTTTAGTTTCAATAATTATGTTTTTATTGTTAGAATTTCTGTTTGGCTCATTTCAAAATCTGCTTGGTCATTTAAAACATATAATCTTGTTTTTTAAAAATATGTTGAGCCTTGTTTTATTTATTGGATCATATTAAATTTATAATAATATACCTGACAGTTATTTTAAGTTTTGTGGCTTTGATTCTGTCGAGTTAGTTTTTTGTTTCTTTACTTTTAAAATGGTAAAATACTACTAATAATACCAGCTAAGTCATGTGTTTGTCTGTTATTTGAGATAATGAATGCATTGAATAATATGTGGCACATATAAATGCTCAATAACATGTAACCACATAATAAATAAAAATAATGAAATATATTGTGTGATCATCAGAAGAGGTGCAATAGCTATACATTGTATTGAGAAATATCAAAGATAACTAGTAAAGATATATACCATAGATGGATAGAAACTGTGTCAATGATGTTGTGTGCTCATATTAATTCATATGTCTACACGTTTTCAATAAAGATTCCAACTTAATTTAATTTAAAACTTTTGAAAATTATTGTAAAGTTAATTTGAAAGAACAGATAGGTGAGGGAAAACATATTTATATACTTTCATTGATATTTTAGAGAGAGAGTAAGGGAGAAAGAGAAACATGGATGTGAGAGAGAAACATTGATCGTCTGCCTCCTGCTACCCACCCCTGACCAGGTATTGAGCCTGCAACCCTGGCATGTGCCCTGACCGGGAATCATACCCAGATCTCTCAGTCCTTAGGATGATGCTCAATCCAGTGAACCACACATGCCGGGGGAAAATTTGTATTTTTTATTTTTGTTTGTTTTTAACCTTTCTGTTACAATGATTTTGTCCCAGGGCTACTTAGGTACTAAAAACAAAATGTGATTCCCTGAAGCCTGTTTTTTCATTTCTCTACACCCACTTAACAAGGATCCTAAAAGGAAGGCCCTGTGAGCAAAGGAAAGGGTATGGTTCAAGAACTTACTCCCATAAAGATGACTGCACAACTTCAAACATCTGTCTTTTGCTTATATAAATAGCAGACTGCAAGAGTGCTTTCAATTTCAGAGTGGTCCACTCTTCTCACTGGGAGGATTTTTTTTTTTTTTAATCCTCACCTGAGGACATTTTTCCATTTTTGTACAGATAGAGTGGGAGGGAGAGAGAGGAAGAGAGAGAGAGAGAGAAACATCAACGTGAAGGGACACATCGAGTGGCTGCCACCCGCGCGACCAACCAGGGCCGGGGACAAACTGCAACCCAAGTACATGCCCTTAGCAGAAACCGAACCCGGGTCTCTCTGTACCGCAGGCCGACGCTCTAACCGCTGAGCAAACCGGCCAGGCTCACTGGGAGGATTTTTATCCTTTCGTTTGGATGTGGTCTGACTTATGCTGATAGGAGCCTTGACTCTTAGTCTTAGTAGTTCTTTCTGGGCTTTTAGTAGACTTAACATCTTTACCTAATGTCTTTTTTATCATCTTAGGCAGTGAACTTACTTTCATGAGGCTATTTGTTGAGCATTTACTAGGTATTACTGGTTTAGGTGTTGGGGAAAAAAAGAAAGCAGTGAACCAAGCAGACCAAGTCCCTGCTTACTTCAGTAATAATTGTAGGTAATAACATTATATAAGTGAGCATTTTTAGTTGTAATGTGTTTTTAAATCATTCAGTCCTCTCAAATAGCTATGTGATACATAGGATTAATATCCTTACTTCATATTCTTGCTCAAGACTGAGGTAAGGACTTAGAAAGGGTCCTAGGATCACACCACTTATAAAGGGTCACCCTAAAGCTCAAACCCAGGCAGAATAATACAGATAGCTTTCTCCTTTGTAATTGCACACATTAGCAGTCCATATTCTTGTGGTGTTGCCAGTGCCTCTTGACTATAAAATACAAAATTTGGTGGGGGGTGGGGGAGGGGATGGTGCTTTACTGAGTTAAGAATTAACCCTTAGATACAGTTCTCCCATGCTCTCTCCCCACCAGATATGACTCTATAACATATAAAAGTGCTTTTTCAGTGCCACAAAAAATCATTGTGATAGAGGTTTATGGAATATCTTTATATGTTTAATTTCTCTTATTTTGTTTTATTTTTAAGATCCTTAAAATACAAAAGGATCTACCTAATGATGATTTATGTTGTTTAGTTATTAGTCCAAATAAACCTGATTGAATTTGTTACAGCCCCTGGGTCTATTGGACACTAATAGAGTAAATGATTACCCTATAGATTCACGACAGCATTGCTCAGTAGCATGTGATACTCTGGCGATTAATTACTGGTGGGGGTGACATGCAGCAGATGTCTGACTCTTCCTTTCTGGGTCTCTTAGCAACAGCTTGAAGAAGAAGCAGCTAAACCTCCTGAGCCAGAGAAGCCTGTGTCCCCTCCTCCTGTGGAACAGAAACACCGCAGTATTGTCCAAATTATTTATGATGAGAATCGGGTAAGCTCATGCCATTTCTGATGGCACAAGCCTTTAAAACCATTTGTGCCTTTTTTAAGTTATCACTGTGTTCTGTGTCAATGTTAGTTGTATTAAAACCTGGTTTCTGTTAGAATTGTTAATGTTCTTAAACTTTGATTAACTGAAGCTTAATGTTTTTTCCTTAAGATTGAATAAAAGTTTCCAGTTGTGTCTTAAATTATTTACTATTTTATTTACATGTTATATTGTATAAATATTATTTAATGAGAGTATAGTCTTATCAGTTGAGTCTTTCTCCAATTATATAAATACTGGCAAACAAGTTTGTACTAAATAATATAAAACAATCGTTCTATAGTTTTTCACTTTATAGGGATATTTGATGCCAAATACTAAAACCATTCTAGTAGAAATTGTTCATTGGATGTGTAAATGACTTCCACTATCAGCTTCACAATTAATAGCTGGGTTATGGTTTGAATCTTAATTATAAAGTGTGAGGCCATTAATCTTTATGTAGACTTTACCTTTTTGGGTTTATTAAAATAATTTTTTTATGCTCATAAGTAAAAGTGTCCTTGGATTTAGGAAAGCCAGGCCTCATGTCATGAATAAATAGTTTTGTCATGTCAAAGTTAGCTTTTGGCCAGAATCCAGCGCAGGAGCAAGCAGTTGAAAGGAAACTGGTTTCAACTTAATATAAACAAAAGTTTCCAGCGAAGCTGTTGTGGGCTTCCAGAAGTCCTCAGTCCACATGTGAATAACATACTTGAATGACTGTGGGAGAGAATAGGCTTGTTAGCTAAAGTTTGTCATAAGGTAGAAATTGGGGTTGTTGTTTCAATTTGCTTCTTTGTAGTGAGTGGAGCAGTACATTGTAAGGCAGTCTGTAGCTTTATAACAGCCCAGATCCTAAAGGAAATTGGCCTTAAGGAAAGCAGCTGTGAATTAGTCATTAAATAAAGGTTTATGGAATGATTTTCACTCATACACATGAATGTGTCTATATGGATAAGTGAAAGTCGACAGATATGTAATAAAGATCATTGGAAGTGTCATGGCAGGTAAATGGGAAATTAATATTATTTTCTTGACTGAGTTCAAAATTAATTCAGTTATTGGATGGACAGAGCCTTGTACATGAACATCTATCCAGTGAGAGTGAAGGGCAGTGGAATCGCCTCATGGCATGCCTGGAGGGGCAGTACCTTGTGGTCATGCAGGGATGTGGCCTGGGGTTGACTCATACTTCACTATTTAACGGCAGCCAGGAACATGGAGTTTTATGTGATATTTTCTGCTTTTTAAAAACGTACTCTGTAGAACAATAAAAATACCTTGGTGGGCTAATGGGCTCACAGCCAGTTTGTAACTTCAGGGATAAAGTAAAGAGGGATTACAGCTGATAACAGTGGGAAAGAGTCTTGCAAAATAAAACATTGAATTCTTCCTTAGTATGAGTTAATTTTCAAATAAATTTAATTCAATGATATTAATTTATTGCGTTTCTTAATTAACCTTGTCTCACAAATCTAATGAACAATTCCAACATTAGTGAATTCTGTGATTGCCTAATTAGGATGTTAGGATTGAAAGAGAATTTAATTTATGTTTAATTTTTGTGTATGTTTTCATTGATTGGTGTAGTAAATGTTTCTTGATGTCCATCAACAAAACTGAAAACTTGCAGACCTCTCTTTTCCATTTGATAATTTGCATATTATTTGTTGTTAGCTCTGCGAAGAATAGAACAACAACCAAACTTGACCTCTGTGTTAGTATTAGAATTGCAGTGATTATTTTCAAGTCACAGTACTGTAGGAGTCATCTTTTTAAAAACATTATTTTTGTATGCTCTGCTCCTTGTCATCTGCTGTCGTGCTTGTGCAGGCCGAGAGCTGCAGCCGAGAACTGTTCTGGAGGCAAGTGGTGTGAGCACAGCTGGCACAGGCTTGCTCATCACTGGCTTCTCACCCTGCAGCTTTTCGTAAGGTTGTCACTGCTTCTCGAGCTTTCTGTGATGAGTGACTTTAGCTGCTTTGACACTGTAGGCCAGCTTGTTCCTTGCTTGGCAGCAGTCTACACTGGTTGGGAATTAAGCTAGATGTAGCTTAAGAGATAGGGGCCATTATCTTATGTAAGGCGTCTTTCTTTTATTTAGAAAGTTAGTGGGAGGAAGAAAACACCCTAAAAGTAACTGTTAATTTAAAAATTGGCTTTCTGAGAGAAAAATTGCCTTGCATCATATTTAAACTTCAGATTAAGATTTATTTAGTCTCTAAACAGACTGTTCTCCTGGACTATTTTTAGTACTTCAACTTGGGTTCCAAAAATATTTATAAATGCTCTAATTTCAGAATTATCATACATATAGAAAAGGGGGTGGGTAGGTGGGTTGGGTATGGACTAGTTTTCAAAATGATCTTGTTTATATTTTGATTGAATGATGTGCAAGTTAGTGTCACACCAGAAGAAAGAAAAGGATTGACAGTAGAGACTATACTTAGTGTCAACAACCTCTAGTCACCTAGGCCAGTGTCCTAGGAATTATCTGTTTCGCTCTCTTTGCCACTTAGACTTAGCTAGTCAGTGAAGAACATCAGTCCTACCTCCTAAATATAGCTCTGATCAATTGCTCCTCTCTCCCTTTTTTGGCAGTAGCTTAATTTGAGCCCTCATCTCTCACATAGATAGTGAGTTTCCTTCCCTTAGTCATTTTTTCTTTCTAATCCATCCTTCATATTTGAGTTCCATGACATAATTCTCCACATAAAACCTTTCGATAATATCCTGCTTTCTACAGAATAGCCCAAACTTTTTTTTTAAATCCTCACCCAACGATATTTTTCCATTAACCTTCAGATAGAGTGGGAAGGAGAGAGAAAGAGAGAGAAACATCAATGCGAGAGAGACACATCGATTGTTTGCCTTCTGAATGACCCAGACGAGGGCCGGGAAATGAACCGCAGCCAAGGTACATGCCCTTGACCCGAATTGAACCCATGACTCTTTGGTCCGTGGGCGGACACTCTAACTGCTGAGCCATACCGTCCAGGGCTAGCCCAAACATTTTATTACACTGCCTGGCCCTTGGCCTGATACTCCTTTCGTAGTGACATCCTGACCAGAACAGGTTTTGAATGTTTCCTTGAAGTTGTTAGTATCTTTACCCCATGATGTTGCTGCTGCCTTCAGGTGTTCCTGTGTCTTGTCTCTTTTGTCGGTCTCTCTTCTATCCATTGCACTTGTACATCAAGACTTCAGCTTAAGTATCATTTTCTCTGCAAAACCTTTTAAGACCCCTTCTCTTCCTACTCCAAGAAGGGCAATCTTATTCATTGTTTTCTTATGGTCTAGCAAGTGTCCAGAACATACTCAGCATATGTTTGAAGAATTAATTACTTCAGTCTATACTTAGAATAAAAATTATAAGATGGAAATGTGAAGGTTTTAAATTAATTTTTTCCTGCCAAACTATTGAGCAGTTAAGCCAACATGAAGTCAGATGTTTAGTAAAATTTTGCAAAACTTAAATCTTGGAGTCTACAAACATCTTAAATACAAGCCTTTAAAATTAGCCCTGAGAAGGTAAGTGCCTTCACATAATAGGATACTGCTAAGTATTGGCCATAAGATAATTTTGCTCCCTCGTCTTCCAGTATTATTTATGTACAATTCCACTTGGCCTGCCTGTTCTTGGTGCAGACTCTAATGTAAAAACTAAAATTTAAAAACTGGTGAGTGTTGCGTTTAGAGAGAGTAATTTGCTGGTGCTAGATATTTCCAAATTCGCTATCTGTAATGATATTTGTATGTTATTTATATGCCTAAAGCTAATAAATTTGAATTTTGTTATAATTATATTTTGGCTTCTTAACATTAATAGTTGCCAGAGAATATTTTGATTGTCATAACTTGGCAGAGTAGGTAGAGGCCCGGAATACTGTCAAATACTCTACAATGCATAGTACAGCCCCCACAAGGAAATATCTGGCCCAAAATATTAATAATACCAAAGTTAACAAATCCTGCCTTAAAAACCATCTATAGAAATAGGATTTGCTATGCAAATTTACTGGGTATATTTATAGTTTTGTATTTGACATTTTTGATATGTTTATTTCTCATCTTAATTACCTTTTAAGTTTCTTGGAGTTTTGGAAAGTTCATTACACTATTTTGTGCTTCATAAGCTGCTTAAACATATTTTTTTACATAATATATACTAAATAAATATTTGACTGATTATGATTGATAAATGAGATGAAAAGGGGAATATTTATTTGAAGGGAATATCTATCTTTATACTTGGGAAATACTGATTGATAACCATTTCCATTTGTATGTCACATCAGAGCCCTGGAGAGGTTCCTAGACAAATGCAGTAAGGTGTGGGTGTGCAGCAGGCAATGAGCCATTGTTACTGATGAGACTCTGCTGGGAGCAAGAGGAGATTTGAGAACCACTGAGACATTTGCTAGTCATATAATTCCACTTTAAAATATTCAGTATTTAATTTTGTTACATTTCATTTGTCTTTTAAAGGATGATTTCTGTTAGATAGCATTTTACTTTTGAAAATAGCATATAAATATATATATAATTCAACATTTATTTACTACTGAAAACACTTGAGTATTCAGACTAGTTGTTTCCTCGATTTATTTATCGGGTTATTACTAAAGTTTTCTTATAACTAGAAAGTAAGCTGATTATAAGCTGTTCCTCAGAGAGATCAATTTGGCTTACTGTAGTACAGATCAACAACTTTGTGGTGTTTTGATTATTTAAATTTAAATAAAGGCATTATGAGTTGAAGTATTTAGAATGTTTAAGGGATTTCTTTCTAATTGTGCATCTCTGTTTCCTCTCCCTAGAATTAATATATGTTTGCTTTTAAGAATTTACCAATTCTTAAAGTAATGCTTTAAATGCAAATGTTAAGCTTTGATTGAATTTGGTGAGGAAATTATGAAAATAGAAATAGTATTTTGGAAATAAAGAAAAGTTTATAGATTGGTCTTTTGGTAAATATTATTAGAATGGTAGTTATTTCACACTTAGGTAATATACTTTTTAGTTATATAATATAATAATGTCTTTGTAGAAAAAAGCAGAAGAAGCTCATAAAATATTTGAAGGTCTTGGCCCAAAAGTTGAACTGGTAAGTAAGACGTTTCTTTTTTTTGTTTGTTTGTTTGAAGTACTTTTTTTTGTATGAGTTTTTCTTGGAAGTAAGATGGAATACACTCTACTTATTTTGGAGTGAGAGGAATGTAGCTGGGCAGTAAGTTTGTGATAAAGTTTATTACCTTTTTTAAAATTATTTTTTAATCCCCGCCCAAGGATATTTTTCTATTTGTCTTCAGATAGAGTGGGAGGGAGAGAGAGCGAAACATCCACATGTGAGTGACACATCGACTGGTCACCTCCCGCACAAACCCAACCAGGACCAGGGATGAACCGCAACTGAGGTACACGCCCTTGACTGGAATCGAATCCGAGACTCATTGGTCCATGGGCTGATGCTCTAACCTCTGAGCCAGATCAGCCAACGCTATGATAAAGCTTAAAATTATGATGTATGACCAGAAGGTTGTGGGTTTAATTCCTGGTCAGGCAGGGCACATGTCTAGGTTGTGAGATCAGTCCCTATTGGGGCACATCCAGGAGATAACTGGTCAATGTTTCTCTCATGTCGACGTTTCTGTCTCCCTCTTTTACCCTTCCTCTCTCTCTAAAATCAATAAAAACATATCCTCGAGTGAGGATTAAAATAATAATAATAATAATAATAATAATAATAATAGTGCATGAACTTGGTTACCTTTGAAAATAAGCATTATCCTGAGCAGCCATTTAATCACTTCACATAGAAGGAGGAAGAAGTAAGAAGAGAAATAGAAAGCTCTTTGAATTATTCTGTTAGGACGATGGTGGTGCTTAATCTTTCATTGCCTTTAAAATTAAAAATCTCTGAATGAATATTTATTATGGGATACAGTGGATTTATAAACTTTTCTAGGAGTGGCATTACTAGAGTTATTCAGGGAACCCAAAAGTCTGGAGGTTTTAGTAGAGCACATACTGTGTAGACCCATTAGGACTTTATCTAGCCTTTCAGTAAAACATAAATTGTTTCTTTGTCTCTGTAGACATGTGTACAACATTTTATATATAAATATTTGATTTATTTTGTAGCCACTCTATAACCAGCCATCTGATACCAAGGTGTACCATGAGAACATCAAAACGTAAGTATTTATCATCTCTGGAGTTCTTCAGTTAAAGACCATATATTCTATAAAGAGATTGTTTTTATGTTATCTGCTGACATATTATTATAATACAGTGTTGGTATGCTTTAGATTTGTTTAACTTGCTGTCATTTTACTATATGTTATCTTCCTCTGGCTTCTTGGGGGTTGGGGTAACAGCTTTGAGTTTCCGAGGCCAAAAAATGAAATAAATTATTGCATAAAACTAGCTGGTTTTATAATCTGCTAGTAAAAAAGGTGGATACTTAACATTGAAATGGCTTACCTTGAGGCTTGAATTTTTTGCCTCCTGTTTTGTCTTTTTTTCAGTGGAGTACCTGCAAGGCGCATGATGAAGTAAGATAATGAAGCTTTTTCATTTAAGACTAGTGATGACACCGTCCCCCACCAAGCCACATCTGCCATTGCAAAGTAGAAGTGCCACGGATCATTTTATCATTATTCAAAATCCTATTCTAGGGAAATCCCTTCCATGACTCTTGCTAATGACGGTATTTGTAGACCCTTCTGCCATTTAATGTCCTGGTGCCTTGGAAGCGCTCAGTTACCTCACCTGGGTGAGGAGACTGCTCCAAAGTGTAGTTTGCTTAGCCTTGCTCATCCTAGATACCAGGCCTTTATGGATGCAGATTTTGGAATAAGAAAATAAGTAAAAAAGAAAACCTAATTTCTTGATCTGATTGAAGTAAGAGAGAAGCTAGATAGATAATCTTTTTGAAAAAAATTATCATACTTTAAGAGAATTTTAGGTGAATTTTCTTGTTTGTAACAAAAATGTGATATTTCTACTTTATATGTTTTAGTAAGTATGAGAAATTATAATTACTGTACAGTTACTAATGAGCACATTGCTATATATACACATATATATCTTTTTTTTTCTTTTTAAAAAATTTCTTACTGAGAATATGTGCAATAGTTGACTACTTTGCAGAACTGGTGGCAGATATAATGTGCATGGTAGTATGCATGAAAAAATTGAAATTTGAATAATTTTAACTTCTGTTAAGAAAGTGGTTCATAATAAACGTCATTTACTTAGAATTTTTCTGTGAGATGCTATTGTGGTCTTGACAACCCTCAGGTTAGGCAAAAGTCTTAAAATATACCTTGTTTTGGAGTTGTTTAGCTGTTTTAACATTTTTAAAAAGAATATTGGATAAAATATGGTTGGCTACTTTTAATTATCTCCCCCCCCCACAAAGCTTCAGTTATGTTTGTGTTCTGTGTCTCCCCCCCCCCCCCCCCCACCACCACCACCAATATTAGCTGGAGAGCAGCTCTGTCTGATTTATTTCATGTTATCGACAATATTTAGCACACTGTCCTGAGCTGGGTACTGACTAGCTGACTTCTTCATTTAAATTTTTAGGAAACATTTTAAATTTTATTTATTGATTGTCATTTGCTTTTGAGTAGCACATAATTACAATTAGAGCAAACTGAATATGTGGTAATGCTTCTACTGTACATGTAAAATTCCTTGTGAAATATCATTTACTCAGCTGCATGCACCCATTTGAATCATTCAGTAGCTATTCTTTTATCATTGCCATTTGCTTTGTATGAAATAGCAAATGTACATTTTGATAATTCTTTTAATCTCTTGGCTACTTTCCCATATAGCCAGCTCCTGATTGTCCATGCTTATTTCAGTGGAGCCAGTGTCACTGTTAGTCCTGAGTGGCAGATAATCCAAAAAATTACTTCTACTTGCCTTGGCCTTGTATTTATATTTGAATAATCAGCTTGAAATCCTTTCTGGAAGTAGGTGGGGTATAAATATTTCTATTTGAACCTGCATGTCATTGTTTTTGAAGGTCACAATGCTTCAAATTTAAAAAGTGAAACTTAAGATGTAAGAGAAGTTTTCCTGTCTTGTCACATTGCCCTCCATTACTTCTTAGAGTGGATTGTGTCATTTCTGTGGCTGAAGAAAATCTTCTGTTTAAAGCAGAAGTCCCTTCTCTCTGTTGTATACATTCTCATGGAAGGGAGGTCAGCACCAATCCTGAGGCAGGGAGGTAACTGAACAGCTTTTCCTTCTCTTCTGCCTCCCTCCTTCAGAGTGTACAAAGATGTTTATATCGCCAGGAATCATAAGAAGAATTGTGTAATTATAATTTGAAAATAATATTTACCTTTATAATTGGATGTAATCATTGAAAATAAACTATGTAAAGTCTTGTAGTAAAATGGGAGGAATTTTAGTCAGTTCTAATTATTGCCAAAGTCTTATTTTGCAGGGTGAAAAATTAAGATTAATTTTATTACATCATATGTTCTTAAGTGATCTTTGCTTGTTTTTCAGTGTCTGTGAAAAATAAAAGTGAATGCATTATTAAATTGTGCTTTTTCTTAATGTCATACAACCATATTTTTCTTTTCTAGAAACCAGGTGATGAGGAAAAAACTCATTTTATTTTTTAAAAGAAGAAATCATGCAAGAAAACAAAGGGTGAGGTCCTATCCTTGTTAACTGAAATTTGTACAGCTTTTCCATTCATGCCCATGTAGGCATTCACTTTCCCATTATTATTGAGAATAGTTCTTGATTATATTTGAGAGAAGGTTGCTGATTTTGAAAGTAAAAATAGATGTGACTTAAATATAAATCTAATTCTAGCAACATTTTGAAATCATAATTCATGTTTAATATCATTATCAAGTTAATTTCTTTGGTCGTCTATGTATAAAATTTTCATCTAGCCAAATAAAGAAAATGGTGAGTAGTTAAAAAATATGTGGGTAAGTTATAGTTATGCTGATTACATATTACTGTTCTCTCATTAGAAACTGGGTCAGCTAATAAAGGTCTGCCTTTTCAAATTTAGATAGTTTTTTATATTTAATATATGACTTGCAGTGCAAAAGTTTTGTGAGTACAGTCTTCATGGAAATTAAGTTACAGAAAATATATATGCCAGTATTCCTATTTTCAAAACATGTCAGTATCGATTTTAGACAAATTGTTGGTTCATTTAAATTCAATTGTTTAGTAAATAAATGATTTTCTTTAATTTACATGAGGAGTGAATTTTGTACCTTATATTTAATGACCTGAAAGTTAATGAATTGTAACACTCAAGAGTCAGCAACTCTTATTTGGAGTATAACTTACATGTTCTTATTAGTCCTTTGGTCCTGAATTTTTGTGTGTGCCAAGAACATACAAATATTGAATAAGAAATTAGCTAGACTATTTTTTTCTATTCAGTATTTTTGTTGTAATTCTGGCACTTGCTGAATTTGCTACCTGGTGATGGAAACACAGCACAGTTTTTTTTGAACTTCAATAGAGTAATTATAAAGTTTATATGTTCACTGATAAGTTTAATATTCTTTGGCTGCTTACTCTGTCCCATGTATCATTCTATAGAGATGAGCAAGATAGCCATATAGGTTTAGCCAGGGTTTAACTGGAGATAGATAAGTCAGCAGGCAATTTCTGTACTGTGATCATTCTGTAGTGAAGGTCTTTCAGATAGATGATTGTGAGCACATAAGAGGGACAGCTAACGCAGGTATGAATTCTGAAGGGAAATTTCACAGGAAAACTAGTACTCCGGAAACTTGAACAAGCAGAGGGAGCATCTTAAATGAAGATCTAAGAAGTAGAGGGAGTGTGGCAGGTTTAGAGATGGTTGGGGCTTAGACTGAGCTGGGAATGGTAAGAAGTGAGGCTGCTGGGGAAAGCCAGGGCCAAGTCCTACACAGCCCTGGAGGTCACCTAGAAGACTTTGAATTAGATCTTGAGGGTATCTTTTGAGTATTTGAATTGAGGGAATGAAACATTTAGGTTTGTATTTTAAGAATTTGCATTTGGCTACACTATTAAGGAATGTGCCAGGTGGGTAATCAAAATACCAGGTGCTGTGTTGGGGGCAGGGGACCACTTTGTAAAATATATGATTGTCTAACTACTATGCTGTATACCTAAAAATAGTACAAAATAATATTGAATGTAAATTATAATTGAATAAAATTTTAAAAAGTGCATGGGAGACATTAGGAGGCCCTTTAATCTCTGTGAGGACTGATGTTAGTCTGTACTGAGGACGTAGCAGTACAGATGGAGTAAAGGGCAAGGATTAAAAAGGACATATAAGAGTGGAAAAGAAGGATTAGAAAGTTGGTTGGGGGGTGGGGTATGATGTGTGACGAAGATAATTGTCTCTAATGCCACTTTTTGAGATGGCCAGTGTTAACAGTTTTTCATGAGTCCTTCCACACTTTTTTGTATCCATGTGTCATCAGACACATAACAGTTCTGTACAGAGGGTTCTATCTTTTCTTTCATATTTATAAAATGAGATCATATATTACTCAGTTTTTCTGATAGTATTCTTGATTTCATGTCATTTGCTGGATTTTTTTTTTATCATGAAGTACAACCAATTTTCCAGACTGTCAAAAATGTTTACTGTATAGTATTATTTATTATAACAAAAATTGCAAGTAACCAAAACCTCCAGCAATGGAGGAATGATTAAAGTGTTTTCTCTGATACATTGGAAGGATAACAACAAAATGTTAAATATAGTTGCCTTTGGGTAATTGGGATTGCAAACTATATGTTTTTGTTTTTATTATTTTATTATTATTATTATTTGTTAATCCTCACCCGAGGATATTTTTCCATTTATGTTCATATTGGGGGGGGGGGGAGAGAATGTGAGAGAGACACATCAATTGGCTGCCTCCTGCATCACCCTGACCAGGGCTGGGGACGAACTGCAACCAAGGTATGTGCCCTTGACTGGAATCGAACCTGATGCTCTAACTGCTGAGCCAAACCTGCCAGGGTTATATGTTTTTGTTTTTACATCGACAGTAAAGACAGTGTTATCAGAAAAATCATAAAAGTAACTGGTCAGTTACCGACTGAGCTTATCAGTTCATTGATTAATTTGTATAGTCTTCCTGTTAACTAAAAAAATCCCACCAAAATATGCTCTATATGTTGGATCTCATAGGCAATGGAGCTCCCTTTCTCTCTCCTCTTTTGGATAGAGGACAGCTTTTCATTCACAGTTGAGTCATAGGCCAAACAGACTTCTGACTTAGCCTTAAGAAGTAACGTGTACTTTAAAGTATTAGATTTGTCAGAATCACAGTTTTGTTTAATTATTAATTTGCTACGGGTATTTAATAGGAACAAAAAATCTGCCAACGTTATGATCAACTCATGGAGGCATGGGAGAAAAAAGTGGACAGAATAGAAAATAATCCTCGGAGGAAAGCTAAAGAAAGCAAAACAAGGGAGTACTATGAAAAGCAGTTTCCAGAAATTCGAAAACAAAGAGAACAGCAAGAAAGATTTCAACGGTAAGTAGTTTGGTGTTTAATGGCTGTGCTATTTTCTTTGAATCACACTTTTGATCTTTTATAATATTTATTGTTACCTAACTGATCATCAAGAAAGTTTATAAAGAACTTTTGTTCTGAATATGTCTTAGTGAATTTAATATTAATTTTCTATATTAATTATGTTGAATCTAAATTTAAGTGGCTATTTTGAAATTAATTCTTCAGTTCTTGAAAATACCTGTTTCATTGGAAATGACAGTTAATATGAAGAGACTTGACTGTCTTGTAGTCCTTCATACTTACTAACACAATCAAACAGTATTAAATTGGTTGCTAATTATAAGATTATTTGATGTTGGTAACATAGTTTCTGATTTGTTTTTATTTTTAAAGAACAATTATTTTGCAAAAGTAAAACCATTAGTGTTCTTCTCTCCACTGTCTCATGTAAGCATGTAAGACCTTTTAATCATGATTAAGTTTTTGTGAGGGATGATGGTTGTGTTTTTTTTCTTTTTAGAAATGTTTGATGTATTTTTCTTAGCGTACTATTCTAGACTGTAGAAGGCAGGCAAAAGACTGGTATTTGAATTGGAAATGGCACCAATAACTGGTTTTCCAGAAGTTACCCATAAATAGCTCTACCATTTGAAGTTGGACATGTAACCTTTAAATCTTAATTTCAGCATTAAAATTATTACTAATTTTATGGATTACTCAAGCAAATTACTTAAAAGTAATTTAGGTTTCTTCTCTGACTTCTGATTGGTTCAAAAAAATCTTACTCAGAAAAGTAATCTGTATAAAAGTAATTTAATTTATATGTCTTCTTTATAAAAGGCCTTTAAATATATTTATAATTTATTTTTCGTATTTAGAGTTGGGCAGAGGGGAGCTGGTCTTTCAGCCACTATTGCTAGAAGTGAACATGAGATTTCTGAGATTATTGATGGGCTCTCTGAGCAGGAGGTAAGAAAATTGATTGATTTAATTTAAGTTAATTCATTATTCAGGAAGTTTAGCCTCATACCTTAGAAATCAAGTCATTTGTATATAAGTGAGGGAACATTTACAGAGTTTGGATTGTTGCAAAGACTGTGGTCAACCTTTGGAGGTTTTAAAGAATGCAGTCACATGATCATATTGGCATTGTACAAATGTGGCTTTGGCAGCAGGAAGGTGGGGAAAGAGATGAGCAGGCTGTTATAAAAATAAGGACCTGAGCCCTGGCTGGTTTGGCTCAGCGGTTAGAGCATCGGCCCACAGACCGGAGAGTCCCGGGTTCGGTTCCTGCTAAGGGCATGTACCTCGGTTGCAGTTTGTCCCCGGCCCCGGTTGGGGTCGTGGGTGGCAGCCCCTCGATGTGTCTCTTTCACATTGATGTTTCTCTCTCTCTCTTCCTCCATCTCTCCTTCCCGCTCTATCTGAGATAAATGCAAAAATGTCCTCGGGTGAGGATAAAAAAGTAAATAAATAAGGACCTGAGTCAGGGCAGTAGTGATAGGTATTGATAGGAGGGGACTGATAGAGATTAATAGAAGGTAGAATGGACAGGACAAGATTGATCGATTAAGTGTGGGGGTGAGAAAAGACAAATGCAAAGTGACTACCTGATTTCTAGGTTAGAGAACTGAGTGAGCTGGTGGTGCCATTTTATAAAACAGCAAAAGAGTATGTATCTTCCAGATGTGTGTATTCACTTGTTGAGGTCTCCAAAGGATGCTTGCTCTCTACACAGGTGAGCCTGAAAGAGAGATGGGATGTGATATTAGTAAAGCAATGCTGAATAAGAATAAATTTCAATCAAGAACACTGAGTCTTTGTAGCTATGTTCAAACTATCTCTTAAGGTTGTTTCAGAGCCATCTACCTATTGAGTCTTGCTATTTTTTATTTTATAATATGGCTTTTTGAAACCTCATTTCTAAATTGTGATGGTCTTGCTTACTTAAACATTGAAATCCCTTAAGTAATGATCAAAGGCAATTATTACATTGCTGTATATTTCATAATTTTTGACAATAATTCCTGCAATGATGACTAAACCTGTGTTAAATTTCTTAGCATACTTTTTGACTAATTCTATATAAGCATCTAAAACTAGCATTACTTGAGGTGATTTCAAACTGATGCCTGTCTCAAACAGTATTTCTGTGTTCAAACTAATGGAGGTACCTTCTAAAATTGTAGACTTTGTAAGGACTTGTAAGGTAAAATCTACTTGTCTGGGGAAAAGTTTTAGGGAAAAATCTACCCTTGTATTGGGTCAATACTTGTAATTTTGGTAAACTACAAGATTTTTCATGGAAGTTTGTGCTTATAAATTTAAATTAAGCCCTGGGGAAAGAAATTATATAAATGTAAAAAAGTTTTAGTTAAATTTCTAAGGATAATAGTCTTAGATTTTTTTTTTAATCTTCACCTGAGGACATTTTTGCATTTATCTTCAGATAGAGCAGGAGGGAGAGAGGGGAGAAGAGAGAGAGAGAGAGAGAGAAAGAAACATTGATGTGAGAGAGACACATCGAGGGGCTGCCACCCACATGACCCCAACGAGGCCAAGGACAAACTGCAACCGAGGCACATGCCCTTAGTGGGAACCAAACCCAGGACTCTCTGGTCTGAAGGCCAATGCTCCAACCACTGAGCCAAACCGGCCAGGGCAATAGTCTTAAATTTTTAATGGAAAGATTATAAAAGATTAGCAAAAACTATTTAATACTTAAGTGAACATAGTTATTTTTAAAGTCGATGATCTTAAGATTTTGGTGCCTATTTTCTTTTCCTGTTTATTCTCTAAAATGATGTTAAGATTTGTTCTCTAATATGGTGTTAAGACTTAAAAATGAGACTAAACATAATTAAAGTGCTTCATAAGGTCATTACATCAATGAACTTGACATAGCTTTGTGTCCTTTGGGTCTAAAATTCCATTATCTGAAATATCAGCTTTGTTTAAGTAAAGAACTCATCTCAAATTGTAGTAGTGAATTATAAAAAATAATAATATGTATATACTCTTGAATTCATTGAATATTTATTAGATATGAGTAATTACTATATGTTAGATGTTACAGTATATATTGCTATTGGATTGGAAGAATCAACATAGTTAAGATGGCCATATTACCTAAAACAATATACATATTTAATGCAATTCCCTTCAAAATTCTAATGTCATTTTTTAAAGAAATTAAACCCAAAAAATCATCAGATTTGTATAGAACCCCAAAAGACCCCAAAGAGCCAAAGGAATCCTGAGGAAAAAAAATGAAGAGAGAGGTATCACACTACCTGACTTCAAATTATACTACAGAGCTATGATAAAACATCATGTAAATTATTGGTAGAAAAACAGAAACACAGACCACTGGAACAGAATTGAGAGCCCAGAAGTAAAACCGCATGTAATATGGGCAAGTAATTTTTTTTTTTTTTTATCCTCACCCGAGGACATTTTTCCATTTTTTGTACAGATACAGTGGGAGGGAGAGAGAGGAAGAGAGAGAGAGAGAGAAACATCGATGTGAAAGGGACATATCGAGTGGCTGCCACCCGCACGACCAACCAGGGCCGGGGACAAACTGCAACTGAAGTACATGCCCTTAGCGGGAACCGAACCCGGGTCTCTCCGGACCGCAGGCCGACTCTCTAACCGCTGAGCCAAACTGGCCAGGGCTGGGCAAGTAATTTTTGACAAAGGAGCCAAAATAAAGTCTCTTCAATAAATGGTGCTGGGAAAATTGGAAAGTCATGTGCAAAAAGAATGAAACTAGATTACAGTTTGTCCCCATGTCAAAAATTAATTCAGAATGGATCAAAGACCTAAATATAAGATCTGAAACAAGCTCAGCCAGTGTGGTTCAGTGGCTGGGCATCGACCCATGTACCAAGAGGTCACCAGTTTGATTCCCAGTCAGGGCACATGTCCAGGTTATGGGCCAAATCCCCAGTGGGGGGCATGCAGGAGGCAGCCAGTCAGTGTTCTCTTTCATTGATGTTTCTATCTCTCTCACTCTCTCTCTCTCTCTAAAAATCAATAAAAAGAAACAAAATGTTTTAAAAAATCTGAAACAATAAATTACATAGAAGAAAACATAGGTACTAAACTTATGGACCTTGGTCATAGAGAACATTTTATGACTTTGACCCCAAAGGCAAGGGAAGTAAAGGCAAAAATAAATGAATGGGACTATATCAAACTAAAAAGCTTCTGCACAGCTAGAGAAACCGACAGCAAAATAAAAAGGCAACTGACAGAATGGGAGGTGATATTTGCAAACAACGCTCTGACAAGGGGTTAGTATGCAAAATATATAAAGAACTTAAAATACAACTCAACACCAAACAAATAATCCAATAATCCAATAGCCAGAGGACCTGAACAGATACCTCTCCCAAGAGGATATACAAACGGCCAACAGATACATGAAAATATGTTCAACTTCACTGTTAGGGACATGTAAATCAAAACACCTCTTAGAATGGCTTTATCAACAAGACTGTTGATAACAGGTGTTGGAAAGGTTGTGGAGAAAAAGGAACCCTCATTCACTGCTGGTGGTGGGAATGTAAACTGGTACAGCCACTATGGAAAACAGTATGGCAGTTCCTCACAAAATTAAGAATAGAGTTACCATATGACTCAGCAGTCCCTCTCCTGGATACCTGTCTGAAAAACTCGAAAACAGTTGTTTGCAAAGATATATGCACTTCTATGTTCATTACAGCATTCACAGTAGCCAACACGTAGAAACAACCAAAGTGTCTTGCAATAGAGGATTGGCTAAAGAAGATGTAGTACATATATGTTATGGAATACTACTTAGCTATAAGAAAAGATGAAATGCTATCATTGCATCAACATGGATGGACCTTGAGAATATTATGCTAAACAAAATAAGTCACTCAGAAGATCTAAGAACAATATGACTTGACTCATGTGGAATATAAAACTGAAACTCATAGATAACAGACAACAGTGTGGGGGTTACCATAGGGAAGGGGGTAACCATATATGGTGATGGAAGATGATTTGACTTTGGGTGGTGGAGTCACAGTGCAATATGCAGATCATGTATCATAAAAACCTATATGATCCTATTAACCAGTGTCACCCCAATACATTCTTTAAAAATCTACTTAAACAGCTTTTCTCACATTGTAATAGATTATTTTTAAAAATGTATACTCTCTGAGTCTATAATTCATTGAATGAATATTATATATATGAGTGATTATATATATTAGGTGTTGCATGCACTACTATTTTAATTGAATTATGTACATATGTGGGTTTTTTGTTTTTTTGTTGTTTTTTAGTATAAAGACGGTTGGTCTATGGCCCTCCTTAAATTTTATTTTATATAAACTGCATTTCTGTCTTTCTTTCTTTTTGCAGAATAATGAGAAACAAATGCGGCAGCTCTCTGTGATTCCACCTATGATGTTTGATGCAGAACAAAGACGGGTCAAGTTCATTAATATGAATGGGCTTATGGAGGACCCCATGAAGGTTTATAAAGATAGGCAGTTTATGAATGTTTGGACTGACCATGAGAAGGAGATCTTTAAGGACAAGTAATTTAAATTTTACGTTATTATCCTATAGAAGCTTATATAAGTTAGTATAAAAACTTGGCCCCATTTTGGCATTTGAAAGGATACTCCTGAAAATAGAGGATATAGATTTGACATGATCTTCCCATAAGCTTATAGGTGGAAATATAGGTAACAGATAAAAACGAGTGATAAAGTCATGTTAGGAATGGTACCCAAACTTGGGTGGTGTCTGAATCAACTGGGGATGCTTTTTAAAAGTACAGATTTCTGTGTTCTGCTGTAGACCAATCCAGTCACTTCCTGGTGGATGGTGCCCAGAAATCTCTGCCCTTTAAAAGATCCCAGTGCTTTTACAGTTGTTCCTTAGGTTGGCAGCTAGAAACCACTGGGAATTAGTACATAATATTTCTATTCTTAAGGTGCCCCCTTCACTCTTGCTCTTTCTGAGTTGTTAAATTGTGTGTGTGTGTGTGTGTGTGTGTGTGTGTGTGTGTGTGTGTGTTTTATTGTTTTATGCAGGTTTATCCAGCATCCAAAAAACTTTGGACTAATTGCATCCTATTTGGAAAGAAAGGTAAGAAATGGTTGGCATTGGGAATGTTTGTAGGTTTGTGATGGTTGCTACTTTGAAATTTTATGCTCCTGTCCTGGCAGGTGTGGCTCAGGTGCTTGAGTGTTGTCCCATGGACTGAGAGGTCCTGGTTCGATTCCCAGTCGGGGCATATGCCCAGGTTGCAAGCTCAGTCCCCAGTAGGGGGCATGCAGGAGGCAGCCGATTGATGGTTCTCTCTTATTGATGTTTCTCTCTCTCTAAAAATCAATAAAAACATTTTTAAAAAATGTATGCTCTAATACCCAAAAGTAGTTAACAAGAACTGAGTTTTGCAAAAGGCTTGCTATAGAAAATAATTTCATATGACTAGTACAGTGATATTTACAATAATGTGATCACAAATCCTAAGCACAGAGCACACACTAATAATATTCATGGTTAATGAAAAATGACCTGATATTGTATTTTTCTAAAAACACATAGATTATAATGCTTTTTGAACCTCATTAAGTTTCTAATTAAAATACTAGTGTCCTGCTTTTCTCAGAATTATTTTCACAGTGGGTTGAAAGTAGTATTTTTGGGTAAAATATTTAAAGCTACATTTTAAATGTTTACATATATGTAGTAAAGAATGGGAGTTTAGTTACTGGTTAATAAGAAAGTGTTTGAATGTTCGTGATAGTTCCTGGTATTTTTTACATAATTTAGATTGACCATTAAACTAGTAGACATAATGTGTATATTTTTGGAGTCTAGCTATGCTTTAAAATGAAAGTCATGTGTGTTTGTCCTCAAATTTATACTTTGAGAATACCAGAGATTTTCCTGGAAAGTGTCACTTGATTTTTAAAAAATTTTATTTCATTGTATTCTGAAAAACATGTTTTTTGTTTTGTTTTTTACTTAGAGTGTTCCTGATTGTGTTTTATATTACTACTTAACCAAGAAAAATGAGAATTATAAAGCCCTAGTTAGAAGGAATTATGGAAAACGCAGAGGAAGAAATCAGGTGTGTTTCACCATTGTATGGAAGATGTTTCAGGGTTGGTGTAAATATGAAGACGAAATTGTTTTAACAAAAGCTTTGTACTTAATAACGTGTACTTTAGGGATTGGTGTTTCTATTAAATTAATTAGGATACTATGACCATGTCATGATTGTTTTGAAGGTAAGATATATAATGTATTATATTTTTAATTTTGAATGTATTTTAAGTTTCTAGTATGAGAAACTTATAAATTAATGAGAACCATTTTTTACTTCCATGTCATCTAAATCATACATGTCAATGTTAACAATAATGATGTGATTAAATGTGAGACTCTTAACACCTTATTACTATATCATCTTTATCAGTTCTTTTGTTTGAGGACTGGACAGGTAGGTACAGGAGAGAAATACAGCATGGTAATCAGAGTAAAGGAAATACATGGGGCCTGATTTTGTTTCATATTAACTTAATTTGGGGAGTTTAAATAGTTTAAGTCTTAAAAAGCACTTGACCTAAAAAGATAGCTTTTAATACAATGTAGTATATGTTTTCACAGTTGCAACTCAGTTGTTCCTTCCAAAATAACTCCTCAGCAGCTGTTACAGCTCATGTATGCTTTACCAGTGAGGCTGCTGGGATAATGCCATCACCCGTAACCCTCTACTCCCAGATACAAGTCGCAACGTGGAATTGTATGTGTCAACTTGGGCAGCTGCTGGCTATTTAACTAGCATTCCTAAATTTCTTATAGATTCTGTACACAGCTACCCTTTCTTCCTTTGATCTGTTTGGTCTCAAGATACAGGTTATTTGACACTATTTTTTCATTATTTATAGTCATAATGTTTTTGTGGTTTTTGGGTCATTGTTTCTTACACTACCACCTCATAAGATGTAATTACATCATCTTCTAAAACAGTATTTCTTGGTCAAAAAAAGTATAGGGAGTGTTTCTCGAGTCAGCTGTGTAAAATGCTGCTAGAGGTTGAGTCAGCTGAGGTGACCTTGACATGCATTTTCAGTGGATTGATGAAGGAGCCAGAAATAAGAATATAGTAAACTGAAGGGGATATAGAATGTGTGGAAATGGCAATAGTGTAGGTGTAGTCTTGTTTGTAAGATTTGCTTATAAAAGAAAATAGAATGGGCTGTAGAGCTGGTAGGGATCAGAAAGGAGGCAAAGAGTGTACTTGTACATCGATGGGACTGATAGGGTAGAGACAGAAACAGATGACTGGAGAGCTCTGTGAAGATTTATGAACTGAGGGGCAGCAAATTGAATGTTGATACAGGAGGAAATACTGTTCCACTAAAGAAGCCGAGGCTTTTCCCCACAGACAAAAGTGGAGCCCGTCTATATTTTAAACAAGTTTAAGCTAAAAATAGCTTTATTTCTAATTACAAACTAGTATATGTAACTTTAATTTTATATTTAGAAATTGTATATGTTACTGTTTAATTTTATTAATCTCTGATAATGTAAAGGGATTATTTGGTATTTATTATACCTTACCTTTGTTGAATTGGTAGTCTCTTGTGAAGATAAAGGAGAAAGCTCTGGTGACAGGGAATGTCTATGTTAACTCAGAAACATTTGTCTTCTAAATTTATTTGGGGTACCACTTCACTCTTCTGTGGCACACTTGCCCTTGTTAGGTTTCAGCCATATTAGTGTTGTCTGCACATTCTTGTTTCATGTGATAGCACCCTTAGCATATCCCTGAGTGCATTTGTAGAACTGAAATTTTCTAGAATCCTCATCTTGACTTACTAACCCATAGGATGCTTGCCCCCAAGTAGGTTCAGTTTTGGTTTGGTTGGGCTTTCCAATGGTCTAGTCTTGGCCACAGTCACTTTTAGGTTACCTTGAAGATTTTCCCTCTAGTTTTTTGTTGTTGTTTTTTTCCGGTTTGTTTCACTGGGAATTTGTGTAAGGACGGGGTTAAATAATGGACTTACACCATCATCTCAGCCCAAAATAATTTTATCTCTGTTTCTTAATTGCTTGTGTACTTCATTTCATTTGTGTCAAAATAGATGGACAGTTTTTCAGAAATTAGATGGTATTAGTTTAATATAGAACTGAATGACATTAGAACTGATACCAAATGAGAAGAGAATCTATTGGACTTTTGCCATAAGGTACCTTGAATATTATTTACTCTGAAAGTGAGTTTTAATCTTAGAATCATAAGGAAATTAGGTAAACATATTTTTGTTAAAATTCTGTTCAGAGATCATTGTTGGTAAAAGTTTTGACTCTTCTCTGCAAATGCTATTAGATACTACCCAACTCAGTTTTATAGTTCAAGTTATAGCATCCCACAATGAGAATGAGTGTGGTTTATTATAAATTTTAGTTCAAGTTGTGAATACATATCAGTGATTGGAAACCAAAAGCCTACTCTTTCATGCTATTATTTGAGATCTAGAATTATAAATAATAATATGCCAAGTAGTAATTTGATTCTGTGTGTAACATTTTGTTAGAAGTAAGACTTTCTCCTTACCTCCCAGCATAAACACTTCATTTAATAAGTCTGTCATTGTGTGGGTAGAATTATTATGGTACCTGCTAGTAACCTACAGTAAAACAAGTCATTGTTTAGGAACCACGTTCTTCATTTCCAAATGCTTGAATACTTTTTGCAAGAATTTATATTCTTCCTTTATACTGACACCATATTCTCTTTTATGCCAGCGTTTGCTTTTTGGGGGGGCCTTATTTGCCTATATTATTTTTACTTAAAAATTTAAAAACTTTTTCAATTATGTCCTGGCCAATTTGGCTCAGCAGTTAGAGTGTCAGTCCACGGACCAAAGAGTCATGGGTTCGATTCCAGTCAAGGGAACGTACCTCATTTGCAGTTCGATTCCTGGCCCTGGTCGGGGTCATGTGGGAGGCAGCTGGTCCATGTGTCACTCTCACATCGGTGTTTCTCTCTTTCTCTCTCTCTCTCCCCTGCTCCCTCGCACTCTATCTGAAGATAAATAGAAAAATATCCTTGGGTGAGAATTTAAAAAACAAATTTTTTTAATTGCAGTAGGTATTCAATATTATATTAGTTTCAGTTGTACATCATAATGGTTAGACATTTATATCACTTACAAAATGATCTTCCTGGTAAGTCTGTTATGTACCTGGCACCATACATAGTTATTACAGTATCATTGACTATATTCCCTATGCTATACTTTACATCCCTGTGACTATTTTGTTAGTCTATTTGAATTTCTTAATACCTTCACCTTTTTCTTTTTTTTTATTTTTATCGTCACCCGAGGACATTTTTCCATTTTTTGTTCAGATAGAGTGGGAGGGAGAGAGAGAAAGAGAGAGAGAGAGAAACATCGACGTGAAGGGACACATCGAGTGGCTGCCACCCGCACGACCAACCAGGGCCGGGGACAAACTGCAACCGAGGTACGTGCCCTTAGTGGGAACCGAACCCGGGTCTCTCTGTACCGCAGGCTGACGCTCCAACCGCTGAGCCAAACCGGCCAGGGCCCTTCACCTTTTTCACCAGCCCCCAAACCCATCCAATCTGGCAATTATCAGTTTGTTCTCTGGATCTATGACTTTGTTTCTCTTTTATTTGTTCATTTATTTTGTATTTTAGATTACACATATAAGTGAAATTATATGGTCTTTACTTTCTCTGACTTATTTCACTTAGTATAATACCCTGTTGCTTCATCCATCTTGTCACAAATGGTAAGATTTCAGTTCTTTTTATGGCTAAGTAATATTCTATACATACCCCATCATCTTTATTCAGTCCTCTGTTGATGGACACTGAAATTGCTCCCATAATATGGTTATGGTAAACAATGCTGCAGTGAACATAGGAGTGCATATGTCTTTTTGAATTTGTGTTTTAGATTTCTTTGGATAAATACCCAAGGAAATTTTTAGATCACATGGTAGTTAATTTTTAATTTTTGAGGAACCTCCATACTATTTTCCATAGTGGCTGCACTAATACCCCTTTGCTTTTAATACCTTCTTGCTTCATCCATCTTGTAACAAATGGTAAGATTTTAGTTATTATTATGGCTAAGTACTATTCCATATATACTACATCTTTCTCTATTGATAGACATTTAAACTTCTTCCATAATTTGTTTATTGACTGTAATGCTGCAGTGAACATAGGATAATATTTTTTTGTTGATTTTTTTTTTTTTTAGAGAGAGTGGAAGGGAAGGAGGAATGGAGAAAAAGAGAGAGAGCGAAAAAGAGAGAGAGAAGAGAGAGACATTGATGTGGAAGAGACACATCTATTTGTTGCCTCCCACACGACCCTGACTAGGGCCAAGGATTGAACCTGTAACCCCAGGTACGTGGCCTTGACCAGGAATCGAACCTGAGACCCTTCAATCTATTGGCCAACGCTCTAACCACTGAGCAAAACCAGCCAGGGCAAGTGTGGACATTTTAATGTGTCAGTTCTTCCTGTTCATGAGCATGATATGTGCTTCCATTTATTTGTGTCTCCTCAGTTTCTCTTTCTGAGAGTTTGTTATTGATTTATAAAATTGCACACAATTTCTGAAGATGGATTTTTGTATCCTGCTATGTTAATGAATTCATTTATCAGTTCTAGTAGTTTTCCTGGTGGGATCTTTAGGGTTCTCTGTATACTGTATCATGTAAAAACAGTGAGAGTTTTTCCTTGTTCCTTTCTAATTTGGAAGCCTTTTTTTTTCTTGTCTGATTGCTGTGGCTATGACTTTCAATACTATATTTAACAAAAGTGCTAAAAATGGACATCTTGTCTTATTTTGATCTTCAGGAAAACACTGTTAGCTTTTCCCTGTTGAGTATAATATTATCTGTGGGTTTGTCAGATATGACTTTATTATGTTGAGATGTTTTCTCTATTCCTACTTTGCTGAGAGTTTTTATCATAAATGGGTGCTGGATTTTGTCAAATGCTTTTCCATGGCTATTGATGTGATCATGTGGTTTTTATTCTTAATCTTGTTTATGTGGTATGCCATATTAATTGATTTG